CCCTCAGTTTGGAGTCTTCAAGGCGTCGAGAGCTTGGTGAGTTTCTCGTCTCCCATGTTGTTGGGTACGTCTTGCCCCCCTTTAGCGCCATTAACGCTCATGAGAGTAAAATATTTTAATATTTGATAATGATAGATGGATAAAGTACTTAGCTTTGTGTTGGCGAAGCAGCGGGCAGAGAGTTAAATAAGAGTGTTGCGCCAAAGAATCACAACGTGGTTTTGTAGTCTACTGGTCAGTATGCATGTCTGGCAGAGGAGTGACGCGGGTTCAAAACCTGGTGGTGACGACATTATTTTTTACTCGAATTGGAGAAAGGATGGGCCGCATATTGGTGAGGCGAGCCAGGGCCCAGGAGTAGCGCGAGTCGTTTCTTTGTCTCCGTTGCGCGGGCCGGCAGTATGAAGGTGGGGCGGACTTGGATCCGCGAGTTTGGGCCGCGACTTGGGCTTCATCTACGCGTGGAAGCTGAGCGGGCACGTTGTCGCGGACCTGGTTGGTGCAAGGCTAGAGCGTGTGGCCTGGCACGAGTTGAGAAGCTGATTGGCCAGAGTGAAGCCGACTTTCGTGGCGCGGGAAACAGGCTGTATTTCTTTGAGCGCGAAGTTAGATCACCAGGTGCGCATGTAACCTACTGGTGATGTTGCTTGTCGAACGGAAGAGTTGCGCGGGTTCGAGGACTGGTTGAGTCAATTTTTTTTCTTAAGAGTTCTGTGCCTGTTGGGCTTGGCATGTGAACGGAGCGGGTTGATCCGCGTGGGCTAGTTGTGCGAGCCGCGAGTCAGATAGCAGGCTTGGGTGGGTTGAGTGACGCGGAGGAGGCATGGAGCGGACCCGCGTTTGGTGGTTGCCCTTCTCCCGTGAGTGGGCCTTGGCGGACGCGGGACCGAGGGAGTTTGCTAAAGGTCACCGGGTGAGAGTGGCCCGCGAGTTGGATGAGTTGATGAGGCGATACGCACGGAGTGTTGTTAAAATGAGAGTACTGCGCCAAAGGATCACAATGTGTGCATGTAGCCTACTGGTGATGTTGCTTGTTTGGCGTAGTAGTGGTGTGGGTTCAAAACCTGGTGGCGACGATATTGTTTTTGACTCGAAGGAGTGACACTCTTGTGGTTGGCCAAGTGCAACGCGGGCCGCAAGTAGAGTCAGGCCCGCGTGAAGGATTGGATCTGCCCTTGTGGTGGGCCCGGTGCGATGCGGACCGCGAATTGGGCTGGGCGATCCGCGAGTTAAGCGGATCTGGAGGCTAGCGAGCGGAATGGGAGTAAGAACCGAGACTGTGGGGCGGACTTCGATTCATGAGTGCGGGCCTTGAGTTGGGCTGGCGCGAAGTGGAATAAGGATGGCCCGCGAGTTGGTGGGTTCGTCTTCCGTAAGTGGGCTTAGGAGTTGGAGATATTAAAATTATGGTTACGCGCCCAGATGATCAACATTTCTCTTGTAGTCCACTGGTTTCGTTTACTTCCACGCGAGTGACTGAATCCTGGTTCGAATCCCGTATCCAGTGTAGGGCTGGGAAACAGTGCGGTCTGATCTAGACCAGACCATATATACTAGGGGTGTTAGTCGGTGCGGTTTCGGTTTAATCGCACCGAAATATCGGTTAACCACAATCAAAATTGTCCCAAGATCACTAACCTAAACTGACACCGACAGAGACTTCGGTTAACCGAAAACCGCAAACATTGGTTTCGGTTTTCCCTTGCGGTTAACCGAAACAGCAGGTTCTGGTTCACTTTCTCGGTTTTCGTTCAGAAACCGACCACCCAAAATCGAATTTCAACCACCTTTTTTAATGATTCACCCTCAATTTTGAGTGACCAGCTTTTGTTTCAGCCTCTATAATCACACTCCATAAAGTCATCTAAATCAATTGAACATAAAGCCTAAAGCAACCACACAATTCAACCACAACTCCGCAACATAAAGTCTACATGCCCACAATTCAACCACAAGTCACAATTACAACAAGACACAAATAACAAGTTCATTATCTCCAAATCATCAACCTAAATGATCCGAGGATCTCGCTCCAATTCATCTAGCCCAAAGTCATCATTTACTCCAAGATCTTCATCTAGCCCATAGTCATCAACCTAAGGTTCACTCTATCGAGTGCAGAGGGGATTTAGAGAGGGGTGACTTTCGAGTTCTAACTCTTAAAAACATTTGAGACTCTTGATGGAGGGCTGTTTGCAATAGGTGAGAATTGAGATGTTTGGAATTGCAACTTTGATTGGTTTTGAATCTTACAACTTTTTCCCTTAGCCAAAGTAAAAAACCATGTAGTCACACTACTAATCGGTTATCGGTTTTCTTATCGGTTAACCGATTAACCACTAACCAAAATACTACTAACCGAAACCAAAATCAATAAGAAAGTAGCGGTTATTGGTTAACCACTAACCGACTTTATCGGTTCGGTTATCGGTTAAAACCGATAACCGACTAACCGTTTATCACCCCTAATATATACGGTCTACGGTCCAGACCGAGAGGCTAAAGTATAGACCACAGACCAGACCACAGACTATATGGTCCGGTCCAGACCACGCGATGTGCGGTCTGGTTCGGTCTGGTCTGGTCCAGATAGGCCGCACTCAACGAAAAATGAATAATTTGTTTAGTCAACCACACAAAAAATTGAACCAATAACCAAGAAAAATAATTGTTACTTGCCTTAAAACATTAATCCTAACATGCATGAATAAATTTGATACTCTAAATCTTAGTACATAACAAAGATACAAAGTAAAAGCATCCCCGCTTGCACCATAATGTCATATAGAGACACGATTATCTCTACTCTGTGGTTAAATGTGGTTGTGACTTGTGAATGAAGGATGGAAGAGATTCACAAAATTAAGGTTGAGACTTGGGTGTCATTGTGGGAGTTTGGAGAGTGGTAGAATGGGCTGTTAACAGGTATTGACAAGTCAGTTCGGTCTACGGTTTGGTCCGGTAAACCGCGGTCTAGACCAGACCAGACCAAGAGATCAAATCATAAAATAATACAGACCATGGACCAGACCAGACCATACTTCACCATATACGGTCCGGACCAAACTGTGTGGTACGGTTTGGACCACGGTTTTTCTAACGGTCTGGTCTATTTTCCCAGCCCTAATCCAGTGCATGATTTTTGTGATGCCTTGCACTCTACAGCTTCACTGGGCGGGCCAGGTGCATCTCTTGGTGGTGGAGCGGGCCGCGCATTTGGAGAGGGCCCAACATCCGCGAGACTAGCGTTGAGGCGGAAGCAGTGTGGGCTGTGCGCCGTGCAGGTATGGAAGGGCAGTAGGAGGGAGGCGGAATTATTTCTGCTCAACCAGTCCGCCGCTCTCGTAATTTCTTTTTAATTTTCTTTCTTTCTTTTTTTTGTCGTCTTCCTTCCTCCTGAAGCGTTAAGCGTAGCTCACCCACTGTTGTGTTTCCATTATGGCGCATCCTTGTGAAAAGTTGCCTCGGGAACCTCATCCCCCATCTTTTCCTTCTGTCAGAGAGAAACTTTTTACAAGCTTTTTCCATCTTTCTCTTCTCCTACTCTGCTGGAACATATATGTTTTTATGAGATGATAAAGGGAGTGATGTTGACTGCGGCAGATCCACATCTCCAACCGACAGAGTTGCCAGAATCTGGGACCCTTTTTTTTTCATCGGAGGGAGGCAGATCCGGGCTTCGGGCAGGAGGTCCCCGGCGAAGAATGGTTGGACCTTTTGGTAGAGAAGGGGAGACTCCGTTTCTGTAATCGGAGCCGGATGTTTGGCGAAGAATCGATTCTGTCTCCAGCGTCTAGGAAGCTGAAAATGGGCTGTGGGAATGAGCTTTCCATGAGATCATCGTCGCCGTCACCCCCATTGTCCTTCGGAGATTAGACGAAGGAAATTGTTGAATCTTAGCCCCACGGTTGACGCCAATTGTTTGTACCCTCTAGCTCGGGGTATGAACAATAATGATTTGTTGGTGTGGATCGACTCGTCATCCGTTCGTCTGATCTCGTCGGGAGGGAAGAAACCTGTGAAAGAGCCGGGGATGCCCCCCGGATTAAGCTCCGACGATCAAGTCAGTTTATGTTTAAGGTGAAAGTTGAGAGAACAAGGTAGAGAGATAAAGTGTAGAGAGATAATGGAAAGTGGAAAGTGAGGAGGGAGCAGAAGAAGTCCCCTCCTTTGGGGGGCTTCAAGCCCTTATATACCTGTAGCGCGTATCACCCGTCGCGCATCGCCGATTGTGCGCTCTACTACTTAGTCTGCTAACGGAGTATTTAGTAACACCCCCAACAGTACCCTATAACATTCGTTTTAACTCAAAATTTATAATATTTTGCATATAAAGAACGCATTAATTTTGATATACACAGTGATATCCATTTTGTGATGTTTGAGCAAATAATTAAATAATTAAATATTAACAGATGGAATCCAGCCCTTCCCTAACCATCTGTTAAGGGCTAAGGAAGAGCCCAAGCTTATTTATGAGTTAAAACGAATGTTATAAGAGCCCAGCTCTCAAGGGCGAGAAAGACAATTTTATTGTATAAATAATTAAATATTAAATAGTTGTTGGGCAACAAAAATTAGCAATTGAACGGCCGGGAAGGACACCCAATGACTCTCTCTCTTCCGTTTATCTCTCTGTTTTCAAAATCCAGATCTGGATTCCCTCATGTCCCCTTCGCAGAAGGAGCCTCATCAGCCGCCTTAGTTACTCTAATAGAGAAGAAGAAGATTAGGGATGGGATACAGTCACTTCCCATGGAGGATGTGATTTTCGCCTCCCACTTCCCGACCGTAGATCCCCCTCCTCAGTCGACGGTTCATAACACACCAAGGGCTTTTGTGTAAGTTGCTTAATTGACAAAAATAAAATAAAAAAATTAATGCATGGAGAATATTTTTATGCGTGATTTGTGGGATTGGATTACCACTAACCATAACCAACAACGACGGTTCCCTACCATTTCAGGATTCTTCATCATCAAAAGCAACGTCCGGAGCTTAACGGGTTGGTAGCGTCAGATTGTCGGGAAGAACTTCTCGCTGCCGCCGGCATAATGAACGGTGACATTGGCTTCGACCTCAACGTCCCATACACAAGGAACAACGATGTCGGTGTTGAAGAGGCGGAGAATGATGATGATGTTTTCATGGTGGATGAAAACCTCAGTTTTGACGTGGAGGAGCTGTTCCACGATGAGTTACTGGACAACGTCAACGTGGCGAACGACGAGGATTACGAGCCGCACCTAGTCTTGGATGACGTCAACGTGGCGAACGATGATGATTGCTTGCCGCAACCGATCGAGCATGTTGAAGAAGAGAACGTTGGCATCCCCATGGAGAATGCCACCGAAGTCAATAATCTCTGTAGGGCTAACAAGTGTGATTACAGATTTGGTAGTGGTAGTAATTTTTATATGGTACGACTGATGCGAGGACAATACTGTACTGGTAGACATGTAGTGGCATACGATTAGTGATAGTCATCCAGTGGTAATTATTTACTGGTATCAAATTTCCAGTGGTACATTAACATACCACCTAGTGGTAGTGGTCCAGTGGTACTAATCTAAAGTTTCCTTTTTAATTACAGGTGCGTTATCGACTGTTGTCCCGGCGGTCATGTCAACATAGGAGCACTTGCGTTTCAAGAATCAAGATGAAATTAACAATTTTTACAAGTGTTTTGCACATGTACCACTACATGTGACTTTGTAATGGTGATAATTGGTTACTAGTGGTATCTGATCACTACATTTAATAGTTAATGGTATATGTGCTACTCTTCTTTACCTATATTTGGTTAATGGTACATGTTAGTAGTGAGTGCTGGAGACGACAAGTGGTAGTGGTACCAACTTGTTTCTGATTGGTACTAGACTACCAGTAATACCTACTGGTACAAGTACCAGTACTGTACCACTACAGGTCAGTATATAATTAGAAAAATAAGGGCACTACTGTTGTAACACAAAACCATATCAACTGGTTAACCAACATTATTGTTTTTCACCAACACATATGGAAAAAGGGATCTAAAAATTTGTACACAAAAGTGAACCAGCGGCAGGACAATAAAGAGTTGAACAACAAGAGGAAAAAAGCTCAACCTAAATATTGTTGGTTGTTTGTCTAGTTAGATGTTTCATTAAAAACTTGTGGTATGATACCGTTAAATTTGTCTCTTGTGGAATATATTACGTTATTGAGTTTTTGGAGTTGCATATTTTTGTTGCTAAACACTAGCTAACCATTTTAAAGTGTTCTCATGCAAATGTGCTCGTACGAGTACCACTGATAGTACCTACATGTACGTGTGCCATTGCTAGTCACTTGGTACATATACCAGTATTAATTATTAGTTCTTGTACCAGTTCTAACTACAGTTACATGTACAAGTACTATTAGTTGTACATGTACCATTAGTATTCAGTGGTACATGTCTCGCTACTAGTTATTTGTTAAGGGACTATTGGTACTTATCAATACTAGTTACTGGTACATGTACCAAAAATAGTCTACGTGTAATTAGAGAATGAGCTAATGCTTGATGTAACAACAAAATTGACAATGAAACACAAAATCAATATAATTGCTAAACCAACATTAGTGGTTTTCTCCAACAGAATTGGTTCAAATTTAAAAAACATCACAACTAAAAGCCAACTAATGTTCTAGCTTTGTTCGTACTCCACAACGTACATAAACCAATAGCATACTCCTCAACAACTGGAAAAGAACTACTGTTGGGTCAGTTGAGTACATCCACAGAGTAGTGGTTCCTTCATCTCAATAGCTTTCTCTGTTACTTCCTCAATCTTCAGCTTACTTAGGTCACCGATTATACCTTTAACCAGCTCTGCAGACCTGTTCATTAGATAACTTCTTATGCTCCATTGTTTCTTCCATTCACCAAAAAGTTTCTCTTCCTGGTACCAAAATAAAACTACATTGTTAGACATATTGAATACAACTTACAATACTACCACTACCAAACATTCAACAGTGATAGTGTCGGAAATGCACGTGATACATGTACTGGTACATGTACCACTGAACCTGGTACTAGTACCATTGCTTTTGTAGTGGTACCACAAAGCCAATTGAAAGTACCACTGTTGGATTCGAACGTTAGATTCAGGAAATAAAAATTTCGGGATAAAGAACCCTATCCTGCGAAGTTTTTCACTTCCGCAGAGAGGGTCGACGACGGATGGAACTCTGGTGATGCACTGAAAGAACAAAAAAACTAAATTGTTAGGCCTTGGATTAAAGCATGGCTCGCTGCTAGGAAACGACGATCGACGAGGGAAGGACGTTGGGAAACCAGGTCTCGGGTAAAGTAAGGGAGAGACGACAAAGCATGATTCTGAAAGAAAATTCAATTATTTGACTAGAAGAAGGGAGTGGAGGAAATATAGTGGACGCACCTCTACTCTGAACGACGAGGTCTTCGAACCAAGTGGAGAAACGAGCGAGATGTTGGACGGAAAGAAAGGGCGACGACGACGTTGATCGGCGATGGTGCATGGGTTCCGTTTGGGGGGTTTGGGAGCAGATGGAGGGGAAAGGGTTTGGGGAAGGCGAACGGTTTATTGCGGGGAAGGTGTCTATTTGATCGCTGATAATCTTTCCCCTCTAAACCAGATCTCGCGTCCATGATAGGTGGAGTGAGTGAAATTATCCAGTGTGACAGCTCTTTTTTATGCCCCTGGTGAGTATGGACCATAAGATCACGAGGAAGGAGGAAGAACGGCTATAAAAGGAGAAGCGAAACTCACAACCCCTTTAGGGGTTATGACGCTATCTAATCCCATCTAGAATCCCTAAACTTTCCATCACCCTCTTCGCTTGATGGATCGTAGGAACAAAGATACATGCTCTTTATATAAGTAAAAAAACGTATATGTGCGGAAATTATCAAACACTCTTACTAGGGGTTACTCAAATGGTTATCATGGTAACTACTAAACCAAGTAGGTTTAAATTCTATTAATCATGAAGTACAGTATCTTCATCAAACCAATCAAATTAACAAAAATAAAATTTAATTTGTTTAATTAATTGGTTAATAAGATTAATCAATATAACATAACATTATCATTACGTGAGAAAAACACTCTTATTAATATATAATATTTAAAATGAATAAAACAAAAAAATCAACTTACCCTTTCACATAATTACACAACTAATGTAATTATCTTACAATCATTAGAAGCAAAGCAGTTAAAATTGGGATTTTACTTAAAATCGAAAACTGGGGTAAAATCGGAATTGTAAAATCGAATTGCAGAATCTTAGGATTTTAAGTACCATATAGATTTTAACATATAATAATATTAATAAGATAAATAATTAATAACACAAAGACTTATAACATTTAAAGTGATAATTTTCAAGATTAATGTTCCAAAATCATCATTTTAATTATTTTAATGCGTAACTCAAAATAATTTATGAGGAAAGGATAGAGCTCATGGGGGTTGGCTCTTTTTTCCATGTTTTGTCTAGGTAGTTTAACTCAACGTAGTATTCCGACATCGTCTACAAATTAAGCATGATTTAAAACTAAGAATAGGTGAACTCCAATAAAATAAATAATGTCATTGGTTTGGTACAAATATATTCATTAATCAAATAATTTGTTAATAATGATGTTAATTCTTACGTACTTACAATATTCTGACAATTGTTTTACCGATGCGTTAAACAAGTAGAAGGGAAAGGGGTTGACCAAACCATAATTAGATTTTTTTTTTCAAATGTTCTTTTAATATGAAAAATATATGAGAAGATCCCCGCCATTGCCCTTTCCACCGAAAAAGTTCTGCTTCTTTTGAATTTGCTCAAGCTCCCTATTTTGTTCACATATGATCAAAATCCCGATTTTGGTATGATTTTACGATTTTAATCCCGATTTTGAACGATTTTAAGGTCCACCGATTTTAAAGTAAAATCAGGATCAGAATCCCTAAGTAAAATCCTAAAATCCTACAATTTTACGATCAAAATCCCGATTTTGACTGCATTGATTAGAAGTAGCCACCTAACGAAATATATACCAATGTTATAAAGGTAATAATGAATTGGGTATGAGTGTGTCTATGTGAATTGCTTATTCTTTTAGCAGTTATTAGAGGCAGAAAAGACCTTCTTTTCATGTTTTCACCCAATATAATGTATGAGCTTTATCTAAATTAGGATATATGTTGTTACCTACACTCAACAAGAACAAATATAGCATATGAATGAGCTTTATGATAATGGGTTCAAAAAAGAAAGAACGTTTGGCTCTTCAGTGGTTATGCAAAGTATTAAGTATGGATTATATAATATATTTGATATATGGCTAATTTGCAATTGGTTAATAGGTTTAATTGGTTAGCAGTGCCTGAAACCAAATCATCTAAACCGAGCAGCTAAAAACATTACATTACTTGTGCTAAGAGAATAGTGTTGTGCATTACTTCTTTCAATATTGGAGCTTTGTTATTGGTTGGAGGTCAAACAACTCATTCTCGATTTTATATTCCAATAGAATGTGATTCAAAATCGACATACCATATTGAACAAGAAAGCAAGTTAGCATAGTGAATTCAGAATGTCTCTCTTATTATTTGGAATGAAGCTCTCATGGCTAATAAACATAATCTTGACATAGCCAATGTTTGGCCCGACTTTTAGAAGTGCTTTTCAGCTTCAAAAGCTGAAGTAGGACCAAACAACTCTAATAGCTCGGCTTTTGAAAAGCCGAAAAGCGCTTTTGTATAACATAAAAGCAGAAGCTCCGATTTGGAACTTTTGCGAAAAGCTGTTTTGAAAATACAAGATTATTTCAGAAACATTTTGCATGTGAAACATCCAAATAGTGAGTATATGATCTTTGGAGGAATTTTTGTTGTGTTTTCTCGAGATTTTTGAAGAACATTAACAGTAATTACTAGGGACCTTGGATAGATATTGTAAATTCTTCTCAAGAGGTCGTATTTTGTGGTCCGCATTCAAAGTTTTGCAGCTCTCTCAAAATATGAGATTGAAGAATTCAACAAATGATTTTGTAGATAGATCTTGGAGTGGCTATAAAAAAAATTCAATTTTCATTCGACCAATTATTATCGTCATTCAAGTTGTAGATGAAAATGGAAACTAATTCTAACTTGATGGGTTTGCACGTACATGAAAAATATTTCTTTGGAAGGTTATTTGTTTGAAACTAAGGCATAAAAGAAAATAGAGTTGTGCATTGCTTCTTTCAGTACTGCAGTTTTGTTAATGGTTGGAGACCAAACAACTCATTCTCCATTTTATATTTCAATAGACTGTGATTCAAAATCGACATGTCATATTGAACAAGAACGAGAGCTAGCATAGTGGATTCATAATGCCTCACTAATATTTTGGGATAAAGCCCCTGTGGCTAATAAACATAATATTGCAATTGTGGATAAAATTCTCTTAGACATTTTGCATGCGAAACATTCAAATAGTGAGTACATGACATTTGGAGGGATTTTTGTTACATTGTATTTGCTGAAGATTTTCGACGAACATTAACTGTAATTACTAGGGAAACTTGGATAAATATTGAAAATTCTTCTATAAAGATGTCATATTTTGTGGTCCGCATTTAAAGTTTTGTAGTTATCTCAAAATATGAAATTGAAAAATTCAATAAATGAATTTTGAAGATAGATCATGGAGTGGCTGCCAAAAAAAATCAATATTCATTTGAACAATTATCATCGTTGTTTACACCATTGACGAAACACAACCGACCAACGGGCCGGGTATCTAACTAGTTCTTGTTTACTTATTTTCCCCAACGGGCCGGG